CCCTGGAAGAGCGAGAGCCCAAGCGAAAGCCCGAAGAGCCAGAGAGAGCAAGAGAGGAAGAGCCCCTCATGGATCTCCTGCCCATGGGGGACAGGAGATGGAACAGCCCCTTGGCAGAGCCAAATGACAATCTAGCTCATTAATTTCAATATTCCTCACCCCCTTAGATCTTGCACCCGTAGACTGACAGAGCACAAAGTCCTTCACTTCCAGTGACAAAATGCAAACACTGGGATGTTCTCAGTGTGTCTCTCATAACAAGTCCCAGGCTGAAAGCAAAACTCAGCACTGTTCTAACTACTGAAAAAGAAACCAGCTCTGTCCCAGCTACAAACCAGGACACTAATCTACTAAGATGATGAAATGGAGATTAATTGTAGGATACTGGAATTTGACTTGTAGGCACAGCCTTGAAACAGCCGTGTCTTTATGGAGATCTTTTTATAGTTGCTTATTAATGTGCTGAAAATACCTGCTTGCAATGAAGCTTCTTGGTCACTGAAGGGGATGTTCTAGGGAAGCTTTCTTGGCAGTCAAGCCTATTTATCAAAGGCACTCTATTAAAAGCTTCAAAAACTTCCATGTGTTTCTTCGTTACCGGAGTGATTCAGAGGCTTTTCTGGAGCTTCACATGGGATGTTCTCAGAGATTTGGGTCCTGTATTAACAAAGAAGTTCTGGAAGGGTGGTGAGACACTGGAACAGGTTGCCCAAGGAAGCTGTAGATGCCCCCTCCCTGGAAGTGTTGAAGGCCAGGTTGGATGAGGCTTTGAGCAACCTGGTCTAGTGGAAGGTGTCCCTGCTGATGGCAGGGGGGTTGGAACTGGATGAGCTTTAAGGTCCCTTCCAACCCAAACCGTTCTATGATTCTATGAAGGACAAGGAGCCCGGTCTGAAGGGCACAGGTAGCCAGGAACATGCAGCTGGGAGGAGAGCTGTCCACAGCCCTCTCCTTACAGCAACAGCCCTTCTTTTTTCTTCCCTCTGCTCTTTTTGATTTCACTCTGGGATAGGAATCACGAGCAGTTATTTTGCATTGGTAAATAATCTGTTTGAAAGGAGCGCGCGATGACTTTAAATTGTAGCAGCCACGGCTCAGAGTGAAATCTCAGAGGAGGGAGGTGAGGAAAGCAGCCTGTATGTACTTTCCCCAGCAGCAGTAATAACGCCTGGTATGTGTCAGGTGCTTCTGCTCCTTTCCCGTTTACGAAAGCAAGCGCCAAACAGACGTAGACGCTAAATTCCCACGTGTGACACACATACTGTAACGCAAGTGTTGGCAGGCGGTACCCTGCACCAGTGCTGTGATACTGGCAGGCAGTGTGGCTGCTGCTGCTGTTGTGCTGGGAGCTGTTGTTTCTCTGGGCTCTACCAAGGCATGAAGGAGAGGGTTCTTGCAGTTCGTTGCATCATGCACACAGGGTGCCATCAACTTAACGCTGATGTGTCCTTCTCCTTGGAGAAGGAGAGTAGAAATACCAGTGCAGCGTATCAGGCACAATGCTCAGATGTTACACTGTTGGGTAAGCCTGGTGTTCTTCTCTGCCTCCTAACCTTGTGAGAAAGAATAAAGCTTTAGTCAGAAGAGCCACACGTGGCAGTTCTCCTTTGAACACCTGTCTCTGATGTTTCTGTTTGGAGGAAAGGGGAGACCAAAGGTGTACAAATAAAGGCAATAGTGTGGAAATGGACGTTGCAGGAAGAAGGAGACAAAGCAAAAAGCTCTGCGGGTTGTTTTTACCTGTGAACAGCCCATGTGTGAGGCTAAAGCAGTGAGGTATCAGTTTACTTAAGGGATTATGTGGTTGAAGGGGAATCAGTCATCTGTGAGTTTCTAACCTAGACCAAAGGTTATTTCCTTCTAGTTGTTATTCAGTGTAAAATGAGACAGCGTCTTCCTTGAGCTAAGCACATGCCTGGCACTTAACAAGGAGCAGTGCTGGCGTTGCAACCTGCAGGACCCGAGAAGTTGGTTGTGTTTGGTGGAACTAAGTTTAAAGAATTTCCTTCCTGTTCAGGTTGGTTGGTGACAGCTAACCTGCGGGTAACGAGGCATTTTTGTAAACTAAATGTTTGCTGTAATTCTAGGCCTGTCTTGACTCATATCAAGAATGAATCTAAAGGTGAACGCTGCCCTAAGCCTTAGCAGAGATCTCAGGTAATCACCAGAGGCCCTCCTGCAAAATGAGGAGATGGTGGTTGTCAGATGACAGCCCTTAGACATGTCAGGAGCTGAGTTCCTGGGTCTCAATTTCCCCCTGAAATTACAGATTCTTGACAGGAAGCCTTGGCTGATGCTTTCTGCTCTACTTTAGGCTCTGGTGAGTCAACCGTTGCTGCCGTTTGGAGCTTTGAGAGGTAAGAGCGTGAATCTCCAAATGTGTCATGAATGTTACAGATAGTTTGAGATCTTGCAGGAAGGATCCCAGTTCTGCTGCAGCAGGGCAGAACCGTGAAGCTCTCGTTCTTTGAACCCTGAATCTAAGACGTGGCTCTGGTGGCTGTTTCTCTCCTCTCCAGAAATATTTGGGTATATTGTCATGAGAACTAATTCCTCCACTGCACAGAGAACCATGCTGACGATCTGTTTTGTTTCCTTTCTGAACAGACCAGTGAGCCTAACAACTTCCATTAGTTCCTGGATGTCTTGCAGTAGTCAATACCAGAAATCTTTTCCAGCCCCAGAATGTAGGTGTGTTATTTAACAGCTCTCCTACAACATCAGGAAATATACTTCCTTGCGTACTTCTCTCTCTCACATAGAAAAGCCCTCTTACTTCTTTTCACATTAAAAGCTAATCTGATTTCTCCTGGTATTTAAATGTCAGCATTCTCTTAGCTGAGAAAAATATGTATTTTTTTAAAGCAGTATTTTATTGCCCATATCAGGCAGGTTTTGTTGTAAATCTGGGGTCCTCTCAACCCCTTACAGAGCTTTACTAAGTTAAATCGAAAGAATAATAACAGGCCATTCTCACCTTTTTTATTTTTTAAGTGGGAAGTGTCTATACTAAAAGCTTTTTCTTTTTTTTTTGAGTGCTACATCAGTTAAACATCTATCGCTTTAAGTGCTGACTTCCTTTTGCATCCACCCTTCCCTGGTAGAAAAGATCTGTAATCTCTGTCTAGTGGAGGTAAAGACAGGGAAAGAAACTAGAATAATTTTGATGAGAAGATTAAAACATCCAAAGGATAATTTGGTAATGCATCTACTGTCGAATCGCTGATGTTAGTGCTCAAATTAAGTTATCATTTGTACTGAGAACAGTACAGTGCTGGGAGATGCAGTAGGAATATAGCCTAGGAACTTCCAACTGTATTAGGTGTCCAGCTTTCTTTTTATTGAGTCATTCAGAAAGCAGCACTCTTCTCTATAAAATGCTCTATAAATTGCCGTACTCTTATCTAGCAGCCCTTCTTGGGTGATGCTCCTAAAGCATTACTTAAAATAGGTGTTTACTGCTACTGAGATATTTTAAATAGACATTCTGGATGTGCGTAGTCATAGAATCACAGAATGGTTTGGGTGGGAAGGGACATTAAAGCTCATCCAGTTCCAACCCCCCTGCCATCAGCAGGGACACCTTCCACTAGACCAGGTGGCTCAAAGCCTCATCCAGCCTGGCCTTCAACACTTCCAGGGAGGAGCAGCCACAGCTTCTCTGGGCAACCTGTTCCAGTGTCTCACCACCCTCACAGTGAAGAACTTCTTCCTAATATCTCATCTAAACCTCCCCTCTTTCAGCTTAAACCCATTTCCCCTTGTTTTGTCATTAACTGCCCTTCTGAAAAGTTCTTCCTCAGCTTTCTTGTAGGCCCCCTTCAGTCATTAAAGCTTGTAAGATATTTTCTGTGTGAAAAGTCTTTGCTTAAAGATTGAGCACTGAGCAGACCAACCCTGTGCACGGCAGCTGCTCGTGCTCGCTGACCTTAGACTGCCAGCGATCCCGCGCTGAGCCGCGCGTTTCGTCAGTCCCTGATGTTTCACCAGCTGCTTCAGGCTGATGTCTCAAAACCAGCAACAAGAATTAAGAGTGAATTAATACTTTGAAGGCTTATGAGCAAAAAGTACAATTCATGCTGCTAATTAAGGCATTCCTCCCCACGGTCTTTATCTGATTATTAACTTGCACGTGAAGAAACTGAGAGACAGAAAAAAATCCCAGGCCACATGACACGGTGGTGGCAGAAATCCGGCGTCGGGCACTCTGTGAGTTCATTGTATTGCTGCAAACAATCGTATTTTGAAAAACAAAGCATGTGGGAATGTGGGAGCTGAGCACTTGTTCTCAGAGCTTTCAAGAGAAGTGAACACAGAAATTTAGTCTATCCCTTGGCAAAAAAAAAAATAAATGTATATTTTCAGTTGGTGTTAGGTAAATTTGTAGCTGTACAGGTTTCCTGCAAGCACTGTTTGCTGAAAGTAAAGAAACAGTATTGCTGTTTCCAGCAGTGGTTTATTATCTAGATTTCACTATCTGCTGAAATACTGCTGGAATACTGGTTTTAGAATTTCAGACTCAATAAAACAATCAGGCTTTGTTTTGAGCAGTGTTGATAACTAAAGATATATTATTTATGAAGCTGGGACTGCCCTGTCTGATGGATAGCTTGGTATAGAATCCAGTCAGTGTGGTGTTGGGGTGTTTTGGGTTTGGTTTTTGGTGTGGTTTTTTTGTTTGTTTGGGGTTTTTGTTGTTGTTGTTTGTTGGGTTTTTTTTTAAATTAAGCTAGCAAAATTGGAGAACTTGTATGCAGTTTTAATTGCCAGTCCTCTTTGTTGTTTGTTTCCTAGTATCTTTTGCACTGACCAGATAAACTATTCATGCACATTTATACCTCACACTCACCCCCCACGGTTCTTAACATGTTAGGATTTTGACAGGCAGAGGCCTTTGGTGCTTATCATTTCTCTAACAGCAACATATTTTGAAATCCAAATTAAAGCTGAAGGAAGACTTCATTCCCGTGCCTGTGCTCTATTTCAGATTGCCATATGCAATGGACACTGATCTCAGTTCCCAGGACAGGAAGGACCTGGACAAGTTCATCAAATTTTTTGCTTTAAAGGTAACTTTTTCTCTTGTCAGCAAATGCCTCTTCTTTCTTGTTTAAGAAAAGCCATACTTGCTGTGGCTAGAGTAACAGGGTTGGGGTTTGCAGGGGGGGTTTTTTGGTTTTGCTAAAGACCAAAGCAAGAAAAGCTGACTGCAAATTTGAGAGATTCCTGAGAATAACTAGAAAAACATATTTTCCCCTTTTTTCTACCTTCAAATCCTCTTCCTTCCCCCAGAAGTGTCTTGCTGTAGAATCAGTTATAGACACTTCACACCTCTGACAGCGTTGGGCTCCTATCAACACATCAAACCATCCAGCTGTTAGGTTGTATCTTCTGTTGGACTCCATTCTTTCAGCCTATCTAAGCTTCTATATTGCATGCAAAAGCAATGATACCAGAATGTTCTTTTGAATTATGTTGCTATGTAATTATAAAATTCAGCCTCACTTGGTACAGAGGTGCAAGCAGATACTCTGACAGTGTTATAAATGTACAGATTCACTTGACTTACATTTATGTGTCCAGGTTCAGGATACAGTTGTAAATTTTGTTTCATTATTACCACAAACTGTGCAACTCCTGATCACAAAGTCAACTTAGTCATTTCATCTTATTACCAAGAAGGGGATCAGCTTAAAATGATTGTCTGACTAGAATACATTTACCTGTTATATGTAATAATTTGATTACACCTGAAGACTAGCATAGAAAACTACTTCTCTACATCCTGGTCAGCCCTTTAATTTTTTTTTTACTTGGAATTTGTCTAGCTCACATTCTGAACTGAGGGCTCTGCTTGAGCTCAAAAGATAAGTGTATCTTTTCCTTTCTGTTCCAGACGGTACAAGTAATTGTCCAGGCCCGACTTGGAGAGAAAATCTGTACCCGATCATCGTCCTCCCCAACAGGCTCTGACTGGGTAAAGTCATGTTTTTTAGAGGAACTTCATAGCTGTTGGGGTTTTTATCTATGTGCACACGCACGTGTGTGTTGAGAACACAATGTAGTTGTTATAGGCTTGTGCAGACTGTAATAACTATTCACAGAATAACTACTGTATTCAATTATGCTCAATGTTGGTGGTGGGTTGTTTTGTTGTTGTTGTTGACATGCAATGTGTCATTCTGGGCTCCTAAGGACTGGTTAGAGGAGAGAGAAATCATACCTCTCAGGAGCTCCTGCCAGCTAAGGCGCAATTCTAAGATCTGCTGAGGGTGGGGTGATGAGTTCTTTTCTGTCAGAAGTTGGCAACTCTGCAATTCAGGACTTGTAAGTAGTGGGCTTTAGTAAAATTGAAGAGACTCAGGATACTCTGTGGGTGAACATAGGACTCAAGTGGTGGAAAAGGAACATGATTTTTATGGCAGGATCAAGAAAAACATTTGAATTAGCAGCCAAGGAAATGTTGCCAATATGAAAAGCCTGAGCACATCTGGGAATTTTCTGTTTCATAAATATTTCAGTGGACACTGACCTAGTATGTTAGATACGGGTCTTTGAGTCTGTCTGCAATGTACCATTAGGCAGTAGTTCAAAGAAATTTAAAAAAATTGAATAATCTCTTTCATTCTGCAGTTCAATTTGGCAATCAAAGATATACCAGAGGTTACTCATGAAGCAAAGAAAGCCCTGGCAGGACAACTACCTGCTGTTGGACGGTCTATGTGCGTGGAGATTTCCCTCAAAACCTCAGAGGTGAGAATGGAGTCAAAATAAATGCCTGTTTTGTTTTTTTACTATGTGAATCTTAAGTCATCTACCAGAGTTCCTGCCCTTTAGTCCAAGACAATGTGAAAATGTCTTAATTTATGAAGTTAGGTAGTATGGTAATGAAAATAAACGTATTGTTTAACAGAAGCAATTCACTCCAGATGTCTGAAACCAAACACATAAATGATAGAGCAGCAAAATTTAGTTTCTTAGACCCTGAAGAGCTTAGCTATTCTGAGGAAGGTATTGCCTCAGGTGATCTAGTTGTGCAGTGAGACTTTCAGTGCACCTTTTTCTATTGTTACAAGAAAGTGGGAGCCAGGAGAAACATCTTCATTGAGAGGCATGGCTGTTGCTGATTGTTAATGAGATGTGAAAAGGTACGTGTTCTGAAACGAGCCTTTGTTTGCTGTCCTTTCTCTGATCCAGGGAGACTCCATGGAGCTGGAAATTTGGTGTCTAGAAATGAATGAAAAGTAAGTGCATTCTTCACACTTTCTTTGTGTGTGTGTGTGTGTGTGTGTTTGTTTTAGCTGATGAAATGGGGAAGCATGCTCAATCCATGGTGATGAATGAGCACACACTGGGACATTTCAGAGGGAAGTCCCCTGTTTGTGCAGTGCAGCACTCAAACTGTTGATTTAATATTGGCATCAAGAAAAGAAACTAGTAATTTTATTCCTTCTTCATGCTTCCATTACAACTAATATGCCTCCTCAGATAAAAGAATTCATATACTCAGTAACTACAAGTGGTTTTAGTACTGACAAGATGTTTCTATCTACTAGAAGGCTGCATGCCACTTTTCAGCAATTACCTCTACAACAGGTGCCTAGATTGAAGTAGGACACTTAGCTGGTTGGTCAATAACAGTTAGGCACACCAGGGTTTTATTTTATCATTTTGGCAACAAAACTGACCTTAAAACAATTGGCCCAGACTAATTTTGATTAAAAACAAACAAAAACCAAAATCAAAAGCCCTTACTTGAGAACAAAAGACTTATCTTTTCCTTTGTGTTCTGTAGGTGTGATAAAGAAATCAAAGTTTCATACACTGTATACAACAGGCTGTCTCTACTGCTGAAGTCTTTGCTTGCTATAACCAGGGTAACTCCAGCCTACAGACTCTCAAGGAAACAAGGCCATGAATATGTAATATTGTACAGGTAAAGTGCAAAATTAAATCCCTCATTTGAAGTACAAACATCAGAGGCTGTAGACTTGCACAGCGGTAAATGTGGTAAAAAGGGATGAGTGATATAAATTCAAATGATTTGGATTTAACTACTGCTGATGAGTGACAGAAGATAACTTTGGGCTCTGTATCACCTCCATATGAGCCTTTGAAAGAAAAACTAAGCACAGGCTGTGAAGTATTGTTGTTTGCCTACTGTGTTGAGAAGAAAACAAAAATTCTACATGCAAGCACCAGTTAAATTGCTTATTAGCATCAAGTTGTTCAGTGTCTGGCCTGTATTTGATAAATGCCTGTCTACACTGCACACAACTGCAATGCATGCTTTGGAAGCATAGATTCAGATTCTCTCCTGCTATTCCATTTTAAAGATGCATCCTCAGCTCCACTTCCTGTAGTTCTTGCAGTTTACTCATCCAAATACCGAGCTCAACTTTGTTTAACCAGCGAGATCTGACTGGTTTGTGGTTCATGGCTACCACCTTCCAGTCTTTTTTTTTTGGCTTTGAGAAAAGTCTTTGACATGTTTGCATAGCTAATTTAGAATAAATCTCAGGTTTGTTATCGTTTGCACAGGTGCTCCCATTGGTGGTTTGGTATATACTTAAGAGCAGGTCTCTTTACAGCCCATTTTCTCTTCCTTTTTCCTTTTAAATGATATGTCTTCCTCTGAAGTAGCTGGAAGGTTTTTTTGAGATGGGCATTCTAGCCACTACTTTTGATTTTTTTTTTTTTCCTAAAGTGGAAAAGTTGTTCTAACCTTTCAACTCATCAAATTAAATAAGGAATATGTATAGCATTATGTCCCCACGGGATCGAATACCTTTTCTTTTTCCTTTTCCTGCAGGATATATTTTGGTGAAGTGCAACTGAGCGGCTTGGGAGAAGGTATGGTTAGGCAATACCCACAAACTAGAGCAGAACTGTTTTCTATACTGGCGAGCCATTTATTACTATTCCTGAGTGCCACAAGGAAAATTAGGCCAGAAGTTTTACACGTGCTTTTTATCTGGAGCTATCAGTGAAGGATTGTGTCATAAGGTGACAGGTATAATGGTGGCACTTTGACAAAATCTGGAGTTATTTCCATTTTGACTCCAGTGATCCAGAACTGAAATAAGAATATGGAGGTATGTTGATAAGGGGCAGGACTGGTAAAGGAGATCATGATCTACTCAGGTATAAGAAGCACTTCAGAGCAATATTTTAGGCCAAGATAAGCAGCAACATCAGAAGTCTTGTAGATGAAGCCTACAAGCAAAGCAACCTAGTGCTACTGTTTTGTTATGGGTTCTGTATGTCTGTTTGGAGTTCAGATTGTAAGAGAGAACAGAAACACTGTAGAAATAAGATATATTAACCTCAGAATAGGGCAGTATGGAACATAAATAATCAGTGAAACTGATAATCATTCCTTAATCTTACAGGTTTCCAGACAGTCCGTGTTGGGACAGTGGGCACCCCAGTGGGCACCATCACTTTGTCTTGTGCCTACAGAATCAACCTCGCTTTCATGTCAACCAGGTGAGAAAATGTGATCATGCCAGAAACCGTTTTACAATAATGTGCTATTAAACCTCTCATAGTATCAGCTCCTAAATCTTTCCCTTCTGCTTATCCTTTCCTCCCGAGATTCTCCTTCATACAGAATACTCTCTCTCATGCTTAAGTCTTGCAGAAAGGGGTGTATTTGGGTAGCCCTGAGCCAGACTCTAGAACTCCGAATTGTTGATGCACACTTGGAGTTGCAGGGCTGAATTGGGATAAAGATAAAGATATTCTGGTCCCATTAACAGACACGAGGATTTTCTGTGAGGGCACCACGAACTGGGATGAGAGTAGAGAGAAAAAGCAGCCTTACCAATAACACCATTGCTTGTTGCCTTGCAGGCAGTTTGAGAGGACCCCTCCTATCATGGGGATTATCATTGATCACTTTGTGGACCGTCCCTATCCCAGCTCTTCACCCATGCATCCCTGCAATTACAGGTGAGGAACTACTGAGTTGAAGTCATGGGCCGTGGTGAAGGCATCAATTATGCCCAAATACAGAGCCTTTTCCACTACCTGCTGACTGCATGGGAAGGGAGACTGGAGGATTAGTGGCAATTGTATTGGCCTAGTTGAGCATGAGGAAGGATGAAATTTTTCTCCTCAGGTCTAGAAGACCGAGTGCAACAAGGCCCAGTATTTTCCCAAATTCTTTGCAGAAACAGTTGGACACAAAGGATGTTTAATTTTGGCTGCCTTTGGGAATTTGAAAGATTAACAGTTAATCCTGCTGTAGAACTACATGTCCAGAGGCATGCATCCCCAGATATTTCCCTTGGGGAAAGATAAGAGTTAAATTTGTCTTTGTACATAAGAGGTTTGTCTTCTCTAAAATTCACCTGAGGGCACTGAGATTGGGACCAGCAGTATCATTTGACAACAGTTCTGTAAACACCAAAGCCAGTAGCATTAGTTGGTGTAAGAAAAGCTTTAGTGAAAAAAACAGAGGGAAGTGTTTCTGCTTAGGGGTAGAAGAGGAGCACCTGGGGAAAATTAAAAGTTTCCATACCCTGTTTTCCTCAGTTCTGCAAAGTAGAGCCCTTCATAATTCTCCTTTCAACTCCACCCAAATACTCTCAACCTCCCTGCAGCGTTTGTCCCAGTGTGTTTTACTGTTTGTCTTAAGGAATATTTCCAGTTAGAAAGCTTTTCTTTTCTTCCTGCTTTAGAGCTGGAGAGGACAATGCTGCAGTATACCCCTCTGTAGAGGATTCTCAAGAAGTGTGTACCACGTCTTTTTCCACCTCTCCTCCATCTCAGGTAAGAGAAACCAGGCTCTTTTTACTCCTAGACAGAGCAGTCACTGTTGGGGTAGTGTGCATACTCCTACATCAACTACTGTGCAAACAGGCAGCCTCCTGCTGCTAATTAAAACTTAATGTGTGGGTTATTTATACTGTTACACTCTGAGTAGAGCCTAGTTAGATACTAATTTCAATAAAATGCTAGGGGACAAGAAAGACTGAATTACTGAGAAAGATTAAAAGAACCCACTCTTGTAGCTGGGCTGAGATGTGCTCGATACGTTCACATAACAATACTGCAAGAAGGGGAGAGACTGATGCCAGGCAGAGTAAGTAGAGATAACAGACTGACATTGAGAAAGAAACACTGAAGTATCAGGAAGATGCTTGTAGCTCAGTCACATTTTCTGCATTGCAGAGTGGAAAAACAGGAAAAAGACAAAAGCTGTATTTATTGGACCATCTAAAACTAGTTGGGGCAGCAAAGCAGGAATAAGTGTCAGCGAACAAATTGGGTCATAGTATTGAACTAGGGACTTAGTACTCTGTACTTCCACCTACCTATGCAAGTTTAATTTACGTTTCAATTTTAAAATAAATAGATAATTATTTCCTTCTGAATATCAAAAAAACCCAAGCTCCAGTCCCTCTTTCTTTTACCATCCTAATATATCTGACTCCACAATTCTGTATTTTGAACTGAAAACAGATTTGCAGTTGTTCTATTGCTTTAAATATTCAGGAATGTCTTGCCTTGTTGTCCAGCCAAGCAGATGGCTCTACTGAACTTTAAAGACAATTTTAAGACTCTCAGTCTCTTTTGCTGGTGATGTGAAACATAGAATAAAGTATAATTGGAATGGTGTTCCAAACTGAAAGACTTTACTGTGGGTCTTTCCACTGCTTCAGAGGAATTAGTCTGACTGGTTTAGCAGAATGAATTCTGCTGTATGAATCAGCTGGAAATGAGCTTTTCTTAGGAAGCATTTTTGTGCCAAGTGCATTTTGAGTGACAAATCATCAGGCAATGTTGAACTAACCAGCCAGCACCCACGGTAAGTCTGATGGAATAAAGCTTTTCGTACTCTCTGATAACACAGCTCAGGAGATGAGTTTGTGGCCGAGCTGTGTCCTCCCTTTTCACAAAACGGGTTAAATGCAAAAAGTTGCATAAGGAAATTTCCACTGGCCTGCTCGTGCCAGTGTTACTGAACAGGAATAGTGCATGGAAATACATTGAAGTTGACATTTCCCCAGGGGACACAAAGCTTTGCTGTCACTGAGGGGAAAAGCTTTATGAAACCAGATGAACCTTGAAGATTTACATTAGGTATGAGCCTACATTCTTGCTTTTCCTGTGGCTCATAGTTGCCATATGCTGTGTGCTTATTTATAAAGCAACTGCCAATCTTTGCTACCACAGTTAGAATTGTAAGGCTGTCTTGGCAGAGTGGTCTCTAAAGTAAATCAAAGGGGGGGGGGAATTATTTTGTGTCTCCAGCTTTCTATATACAACTGAATGCGTAGGAAAATACTGGGAACTGTGTAGTTCTGCAGGCAAATTGCCCAAATCTGTGCCTTCCCAGTAGAAATGAGGCCTAACCTGCACGATACAAAGGAATAGGTGTTACCTTCTCCCTCTGAGCTCGCATAGCACACCTGTGGGAGTTGGGGAGTAACCCAGCAATCCAGAGAAAGTCTGGCCATGGGTAGTGCCCAGAAATGAAGCTTTCCTAGAACTGAAAACTGTTGGTAGGAAAATGACTGGGAGGAAGAATGGGACTGAACGAGGTTTGGATTGCCCTTTGTGCACTAGCACCCTCTGTAAGACAGTGTTCACTTCTGGAGCATCACTCCTTTTGAAGGAGTTCTCTCTCCACACCAGTGTGTTTGAATTGCACCCGAGTCTGGATCCCCTTTTTTCTAAGGGTGCAGCACAGACCTGCCAAGCTACCATCCCTCAGAATGCTGGAAGATTAGGAGTATGTATGGATGGAGAGTATTGAAATACATGTAATTTGTACATTTAAAAAAAATAATAATTACTCTTGGCTTTTTCTGGCATTCACTCTGCCTGTTCCTTGCTGACTGGCTGGTACCAATTCCAATTAGCTGTGGAACAGAGTCTCTGGCAGTTACTTTCTGTCAGTGTTCACTGGAGTCTAAAATATTACCTGTGTTGAGTGGTTTGCTGAGACTGGAAACCAGTTAATTCTTTATAAAATGAATGTGCTTCTGGCAATACTGAGACTTCTGCTCTGTGTGTAGGTGTGGCTGCTGCAGCCAAAACCTCTTCACTAGCATTCAGTTCATCCAACTCTTTATAGTTCTTCTCTGAAGTCCTTTTCTCTCTCTCTCTCTTTCTCTCTCCCCCTTTCTCACTCTCTCTTTTCCTTGTTTCCTCTGTGTGTCTGTGTCTGTGCACAGTGTGTTTTTACTGTCACAAAGGCACACTTTCAGACCCCTCCTCCTGTGGTGACGGACACCTTGAAGGTCCCAGTGATGGGACTGGCCTTTTCACATCAAGTGAGTTGTCAACAGAATATGCTATACATGGCCAGATATAGTTCTGGCATGACAGAACAAATACAGGAAAGTACAAATTTGACAGTGTGGAATGTTTGTTGTGGATGGGAAAGGCTGGTGAACCCAAAATGGGCCGGGCACATTACTGAGACAAGCTGAGAAGGGCTCTCAAAGACAGGACGAGCACCCCTGAATAACCAGCAGCCATTGCAAGGATTAATTGTTAGTGAAAGACACAAGTAGAAATGCACAGTCCTGAGTGTTTCCTCTTCACAGCCAGTGTCCCTAGAACTTGTGCAGTCATTAGTTAGAACTTCTCCTGGGTTAAAACAGAGGAGGAATTTGAAAGATGAGGGAGGGATGGACGGAACCCAAAACCCTGAACAAAAAAAATCTCTCTTCATCTCTCTTCCTGGTTACAAGTAACCTCATGAAGACCTGACTTACTGTTATTTGTTTACATCTGGCAGGTTTGTTTAAAGTCACGTTCCTCATGTTTGTGAGAATCTCTCACAACAGAGGGCAGAGAAATATTTTTTAAAATAGGAGCACTTAGCTACCACAGAATTGCCAGAGGATTTTTAAAGGCAGGCAGAGAATGAAGCAGTTTGAGGTTAAACGTTTTCTACCTCTAATGCTAACAGCTTAAGACAGGACTTGGAAAAATGGTTATAGAATGGAGAAGCATGGCTGTAGATATACTGAATATTTCTTAAACAGAGGTAATATCAGTGGCAACAGTCCCTAGAAATCCTTTAGGGATTTCTACAGGAAGATGAGTGTAAAGTAATCTTCAAAGCAACACGAGTTCTTCAAAGAGAGTCAGGCTGGCTGAATACCTCTAGGAGCAAAACATGTACCAATGTTACACCTACTCTTCTCCAAGAAGAGATCTCTCCTTTCACCTTAACTAGCCTCGTGAATAAAAGTGCTGTTGATCGTTCAGACCCTTGTAAACTATGTCAGCGTTGGCACTGCTGGATTATCACGTGCAGACCTCTGAAAGAAGTGTTCCTCTTGAGGTCAAGCAAGCCAGAACAGGAAAGTTTTATTTAATCCAACCAGATAGATTTCTGCTTATGGTGTCTAAGGAAATTCTCCTGGGTTTCACTGCTTCCAGCACTTCATTCTTAAAGCAATCTCACAAGGGTTAGCTTCCCAGTTCTCTAGCATATTTATGGGACTCTCTATTCTTTAGATGAAGGTATTTGAAGAGGCCCTGAAGATCAGCTGCTTTAACATGCAATGGGAATGGATTCAAACAGTTGCTCTGGGGGAAAAATATTAAATATTAGCTCTTCAGTAACTTGATGATGGCAATCATGTTTTTTCCAGTATGTGAAACAGGCCTGTAGAGCAGCCCTTCCCTGTGCCTGGATGTCAGTCATACCTTGCACGGCCTCCTGCTACGTGTGTAGGAAACCAGTCTTGTTTTCTTGCCAAGGCCCAGACTTAGTCCCCTGCAATAAGAACTTTTTAGAGTAACAACCTTCATGACTGATTCCAGTGAAAAGCTAGCATCCTTCTGCCAGCCCGAAATGCTGTGCTGTGCCTCTGACTTTTCCTGTTCCTTCTTCAGTGACTGATGATTATTCAGACTGTGGGTCATTCCCCTTCCTCTCTCCTCTCCCTTTGCCCTTCTTGTTTTTTCTCTTCTTTCTTAGCTTTCCAGCTCTCGTCTTTCCTATCAGCCTGCTGCCCTGGGAGTTGGATCAGCTGACATGGGGTATCCTGTACTCTTTGCCGGTGGCTTGAACGCTGCACACCCTCACCAGGTACTTGTAGAGGGTAGAACAAGTGTGGCTGGTATTGCAACCATAACGTGTCACTTGTACATCTGAGAGAGGCCTTGAAACTAGTGCATATGCATTGGCATCCTGTCTTTCAGGAATGAAAAGCATCTTGGGTAAATATAGAGAAAGGAGCTGGGAATTGGCTCCTCAGCATCCTTGACTTTGGGGTAGGGTAGGGGTCACATGGAGAAACTAGAGAGCAGGCACAAGACCTGTTTGCCTGCACCAGCACATCACTGATTCCAAACTCTGGCTGTCTGACAGAGCTGCCCCTGTAGCAGTTCTGCTGACACAGTGATGGTAGCAAGAGGTTGTTATTTTTCCCTCCTTGAAGCAGAGGACCTATGGCCAGAGAGCTCTGTGGCATAAAACAGACCTGAAGGGAGAAGAGCAGAGTAGGAAGGGAATAAAAAAAGTGTTTGTATTGTGGTGATCACCTTCTACTTGACACCTCTCTCTGCCTCATGAAGGGCTAGAGCCCAATCATATGCCAAAAACCCCACAACTAGTCCCAAAACGTTGGGATCTGCTCTGCATTGTGCTGTGGTGTTGGCCTGATTTTGAGATCTCTAACTTGACCCGTTCCTCTCCATCTCAGTTGATCGGCCCAGGCAAAGAGGGGGGAGTTCCCCCAATTCCTAGCCAGCCAGCACATGGCACTCAAGCTGACCAAGAGAGGATGTGCACCCCACTGGATGGAGTCCACTACTCAGCAGCTACTCCTTCTAGTAGGTAGGTTGATTTAAGGTGATCCACCACTTGCGCTAGCCCTGTTAAGATAAAACTTTGTGTTTTCCCCTTTTTTTAACTATTGTTTGTAGCATAACTACTGTCTTTCCATCCTCAGAAACAACTAGCAGCTTTCTCTGATGGGGGCTTTTCCAGCCTTTCATCAAACAACCATCTCACCCATTTACTTACACCTGCTAATCCTGTAACATCCTTGCAAATGCTGTTACCTCAACTTTATCTTTTTAAAATCTCCCTACTGTTTCTGCTGATTATAAAACAAGATGAAATAAGTTCAGAAGTGAGTTAAGTTCTCCAGAGACTTAATATGAATTGTTACTAAAACCAGTTGTAGTTACTGCAAATCTGCTCACTATTTTATTAAGAAACTTAAGGCACAAAGTTACTTAAAAGGAAACAGTGCAGCCTCAAACAGTCCTAAATCACCTGACTCTCAGCTCATTAAATCCTTTTTTATTTGGTCACCACATTTATTTCTTGTGAATTCTCTCTTGGGGTCACATAGGTCTGAGTCAAATATCTTAAGCAGAGATCTTGCTATGAGGAAACCAAAAATCATAGGTGCACTAGCGCTTTTCTGGGTGTGCTGTCTAAATAGTCCTCTTGCCAGAAGACTCAACCATTTTTTTTTTTTTTAAGTTCTGAGTATCTGTGGTAGGAATAAAACAGGTCATAGAAATAACTAATAGCCATGCAGTGAATTAATTATACTGGCAGTGGCTGCTGTGATGCTGCTGCCTTTGTAACCTGAGTGACAGAGAGAATTCTGATTCTTGCCCTCACCTCCTGACGGGTCTGCGACTGCCGTCTTGCTGAAAAAATAGTAGTGGTGAACACGGAATTGTTGTGCACATTCTGAAGTTAGAAGTCCATCTCCAAAAAGAAAAGGCTATTTCAATTGGAGCAGCTTTTCATTCAACTTGTTTTCTTCCAGGTTTAAATAAAAATCTGATTCCACAAGTATCCCACTCCCCTTTTGTGCTCATGACTGAAGAGGAAGGCGTGGCACAGGACAGAGATTTTTGTTGTCCTTCTTCCAATACTAGGAGTAAACCCAGAAAAATGAAGGGGTCCTGTAAAGCCTGTGATTTATCTATGTTGTTTGTGCCATGAGTCACTAAATAGTCTGTTTTCCTCCCTCCACCAGCGAGGACACAGAAACAGTATCAAACAGCAGCGAAGGGAAGTGTGGCTCCCCACATGACCTTCTGGAGACCATCTTTATCCGGAAGGTGGGAGCTTTTGTCAACAAACCCATTAACCAGGTAACTAGCAGTAAATCTTCTGAGAGCACCATAATACCCTGCTTCTCCCATCTGTTCCTACACAGAGGAGCAAAAAACACCCCAATGCCAGGGCAGCCCGAGACTGAGAGCACATATTCCTGCCTGCTGCAGTTCCCTACAGGGTCTCTTCACAGGCTTGTTTTTCCTAAAATCCTTTTGGGATGTGACAGCACTGAATTTGCCTCGCTTTTTCAATGTCCTCTTTGAGTATGGTAGACTTGAGGTCTCACAATGATCTGCCACTACCACAGGTTCATAAACTGGGGAAGCTGGTATCAAGCCTCCCTTCCTTGAAGGGACACGCAGTAGACCAGTTCATCACAAGTAAGCAAGCACTGAAGCTCAGCTAGGGCAGCTTAGACATCTGCCCAGTTCCTAGGGCTGCTTTTCAGGAGTTTTTAAGCCCTCTTCTAGGCCTTTTGGATGGATGAAGGGGAATTGTTTGAATTTGTAGCAGTTTGTTAATCCTTTCCTGTACTATACAGGATGTATATAAGCACTCCCACCCCAGGGCATGTATCTGTATTAGGTCAGCTGAGTACGATCTCCCTATTTTATGCCTTTTAAATGAGGTTGTCAGCCTCCTGCCTAACTGCTGACATGATCTTGGGCAATTTTTAGCCTGCCTGACAAAGACTTGCAGTATCATGTCTGTGCTGGGTAAGCAGAGCATCTTAGTGAAATTCTGTTTGCTGAATCTCCTCAGGTGACCATGGCCAACTTAGACATTCCTTTTGCCATGTTTGCTCCCAAGAATGTTGAGCTGGAAGATAACGACCCCATGGTAAGCCTCTTCCAGAGGTATAATACGTGCCTTCTCAGCATCCCTTATGCAATATCCATGCTATTCCCCATCTTGAACACGCTTTGGTTTTTGAGCAAAGAACTAGCTATTCAGTTTTGTTTGGTTTCAAGAAATCTCCCATGTTGAGTCTTGGCCTCTCCAGACATGCAAATAACATGTGTTTGCTGCCCCTGCTGTAGCATGTGCTCATTGTCCAACCTCCTGACTGTCCCCACACTGTCACAGTACACAGACAGACATGATCATGAGATCAGTACTCACCATCTTTGATTTCTTGGGCAGGTCAATCCTCCTGACTCCCCAGAAACTGCATCTCCTCTCCAAGGCAGCTTACACTCAGAGGGCTCCAGCGGCAGCAGCACAGGGAACACCCACGATGACTTTGTCATGATTGACTTTGTAAGTGCTCTCATCAGTGTTCTCACATAACACCTGCATCTCAGATGGGCTTCAGGTGTGGGTACAACAGCAAATGACGTAACAGGAGTTTTCAGCAGGGATGGAAAAGACCAAATGATTCAGTTCCAAACTAGAGTTTAGCAATCCCAAAACTGCAAAGACACTGGTCCTGGGAATCAACAGCCACAAATTAAATACTCATTCAATTCCCTACCAACATCTGGGCTTGCCATCCTCTCTCTGATGCCTTAAGGAGCCAGATTCAGAGGAAATGCTCTCTTCAAGTGCTCAGGCAAGCACGGATCTTGGCTGTTTTGCAGTTATTTAATCTGCATTATTGCAGCAATAGTTGTAATGCCAAGATGTTTACTGATAGCAGGTAATGACTTTACCTGAGATTATGGCAAAGGGGAAGCCAGTGTCTCTGAATGGGAATTGACAGCAGTATCTTTGATTCTAGAAACCAGCATTTTCAAAAGATGACATTCTTCCAATGGACCTGGGGACGTTTTACCGCGAGTTTCAGAACCCTCCTCAACTCAGCAGCCTCTCCATTGACATTGGAGCACAGTCCATGGCAGAGGATTTGGTATGGAACCCTCAGATTTCTGTTTGTGGGAACTGCATGTTCTTTACAATGCTCTCCCTGCTCTTAGTTTGAAAGAAGTCATATCTTCATAGAATCACAGAATGGTTTGGGTTGGAAGGGACCTTTCAGGGTCATCTAGTCCAATGCCTCTGCAGTGAGCAGGGACATCTGCAACCAGAGCAGGTTACTCAGAGCCCCGTCCAACCTGACCTTGAATGTTTCCAGGGATGGGGCTTCTACCACCTCTCTGGGCAACCTGGGCCAGGGTTTCACAACCCTCATCATAAAAAACTTCGTCCTCAGACCTAGTCTAAATCTCCCTCTTTTAGTTTTAAACCATCACCCCTTGTCCTGTTGCTTGTCCTGTCCCCTTGCCCTGCTAAGAAGTCTGTCCCCATCTTTCTTCCCTTGCCCTGCTAAGTCTGTCCCCATCTTTCTTATAGGGCCCCTTCAAGTATTGAAAGGTGCAATAAGGTCTCCCTGGAGCCTTCTCTTCTCCAGGGTGAACAACCCCAACTCTCTCAGCCTTTCTCCGCAACAGAGGTGCTCCAGCCCTCTGATCATTTTTGTGGCCTCCTCTGGGCCTGTTCCAACAGGTCCATGTCTTTTCTATACTTCTCAGAAGAGACTCCTCTGAAAGTGGGTCCCTCACTAGTACGTTCCAGACAAACGCACATTTGTTTGTGGCACACCTGAGCCTCTGAAACTGGTGTGTTTATCTTCAAGTGGAAAGCTGCTGCCACATGTTTGCTGTGGTTGTCACTGAAACCCCCAAAACTAATCCTAAACCTCTGGTGTGTCAAACTAGACCTGAGCAGAGGTAAAATCCTGGTGTGGCTGATGAAAGTCAAACGTCGGGGTGAGGCTGTATTGGGCTCACAAGCACTGTAACATGCTGTGGGGGAAAATGAACACCAAAGGCTAAGAGCTGCAGATGGCTGGATGAAAGCAGTGACAGGAGCAGGTTATTGTGCTGCAGCTGGTGGCAGGAGTTGCACAAGGCAAAGCCCCAGTGCACCTCTGTTCCTGCAGAATAAACACACTCCGGGCAGAGTGCCCTTCTCAGGGTCACTTGCTGGATGCTGCCAGAGGACTCCTGGTTCTGTGAAGGTGGGAAGGGGAGGCCAGAGCAGTGGAGAGGGGTTGCATGACTCAGAAACAGAATTTTTACCTTAAGAGTGTGTGTTTAAAGCTGCCTTTTATCTGCTGTGAATGAGCCCTGACTGGCACTCTTCTTTACCCTTCCAGGACTCGTTACCAGAGAAGCTGGCAGTCCATGAGAAAAATGTCAAAGAGTTCGATGCCTTTGTGGAAACCTTGCAGTGAAGCTGTTTTCCAGTTTTGCTGCAGCAGTTCTTCCTCCTCAAGGCATCCTGGAGAATGACATCCACAACCATCTCTATCGCCTCTGCTCTGCCTTTTGTCTCAATTTGACTAGTTCCTTCCATCCAGTGAGCTCTCTTTGATTGCTCTCTTCAACAGCAGATGCAGCTCATCTGCTGATTGTCCTCAACTCCACCACCACATAGTTCTGGACAGCTTTTCCTGCTCACAGTCAGTTTTGAATTTAAGACTTCACTAGGGACAGAGGAAGTCAAGCTCCAATGTATGAAACTTATTTTCTGTTCTGCATGGAGGAGCTTTGTGAAAACTTGCCATATGCTTCCTCCAAAGGTCCTATGGTGTGTAAGTTCCCTAGGGATAGCTTCTTGCTAACAGACTTTTTCCTACAGTCTCTGATCCTGTGAAAGCATAGAAAGCTTTGGCTCGTTTCCAAGGTCTGTGAGTTCAGCAGATTCAACAGGTTTAAGTCCAGGACATCCATTCCACAGAAGGGGGCATTTCATCCTGACTTCAGTGTTGAGTGGCTGGAGCCGAGGGAGAGGCCTCAGCTTTGGGACCTGTGTCATACACGTGACCTTTGTTTTCCTGCTTCTAAGGAAGGGGGTCTCTACGCAGTCGTTTGGTGTGAGGCCTCATCTGTGACACGTGCTGAGCAGCAGGAACGAAAGTACAGAAGCTCTTTCCACATTTCCCTCCCGAGTGCACGGCCACTCGGCCACGCTGTGTTTACCAGTGCTGACTGTTGGCAAGCCTGCACGTAGCAGCTGTGATGATGCTGAATTCATAGTCTCTGCTTTTGAAATGTAACTGTAAATACTAGGAATCCTATTTCTTTAGGGTTACGTAACTAGGGAGTCTTAGTCCAAGATTCTTTCCTCTAACCCTTGCAAACCTTCCTGCTTTATGGTTAATAGATGATCTTAAGAATCAAGAAATATTTATTGCTTTTAAAGAAACCTATATTTAAAAGATGTTCTGTTTTCATGTAGTAGTGCGGGTCATTCTGCCCTGGATCACTGCAGATAGCAAGTGTGCCATGGAACCCTGGCCAGTGAGACTGGTCTCTCTTTGCAGGAAAATATCCAAGATATTTATTTTCTAAGACAGACTTGATTAATATAATAAATACTCTTGTTTGGGGGACTATGTGTCCATTACATCCAGTCAGGGCCCATTGCTAGAATGAAATGCACACAGCAGTGGAGTGGAGTGGCAGGGACTTGGTGAGAAGCTGTATCTGATAGGCATGGATGAATTTGCAGTGTTCTTCAGCCATTCAGAAGGCAGCTTCCTTGAAAGAAGCACATTTTTTGGGGAGCTTATGGTACTTTTTACTCAGCTGGCTTTTGATCAGCTGAAATTTTATTTTTCTAATGAGCTGGCTATCACCGGTGTGACTGGCTGGCAGTGCTCTGTGGGGGATGTGGCTGTTGTGTGTCTTTTGCCTGGTGTAAGGATGGGAGGAGAAACAGTGACACTAAACAGAAACTGAGATAAGGTAGGTCTTGTGGTTCTCGCTCCTCCTCCCACGTGTAACTAGAGTGAGCAACTGCAAGACTGTCCTAAAACACTTTCTTTCTTTCTTTCTTTCCCCAGAAGTGGGGTTGTGTTGCCTCAGTACTGAGGAACCATCTTCATTTGCTTAGAGTGGCTGAGTAACCAGTTTTCTAGTTAGGGAGATGTGGCAGCTTCTTCAACTTGGCTGCATTCTGAATTGAAGGAGATTGCTAGCAGATGACAAGAGAACCCCACCTCCTCTCGAGAACACTATCTCTGTACCACTGCTAGAGCAAGGAACCAGGCTGAGACAGAGCTTATTTTAAGGTCAGGCCCACAAAACACTTTGAACCTTACCAGCTGTTTTGTTGAGTGATGTGTTTGGTGGGAGACCATGTGAGCTCTAAAACTCTAGGCGAGAGCTTTACTGCAGGAAAGCTGCCCACCAGGACCTTTTTAGCTTACTCAACCAATTCAGCTTCTCAGCAACCTCACACAGAAATTGCCTAGTCCTTGCCAAATAAGATGCACAAACATTTAAGAAAGCTTCCAAGATAAACAGCTCACAGAGGGCTTCAGTTACATGGGGTTTCACAAATACTGGATCCCCACAGCTAAAGCCACCCTGGTTTATAGGTGGAAAGGGTTGTAGGAACACAAGGAATTAACAGATCATCTGGCTCTCACCTCTGCTCAAGAAGTTGGTCTCTGCCACCTTGTAGGAAGTAGCTCACAAGTGGCTGCTGTCACCACAGGTGGTTGCTGTCACCTCTTAAGTGTACAGGCTGTGCTTGGGAAAGTGATACAGTCTGGGCTGCAAAGCAGCAGAGATGGGGTCAAGTGCTGGTTCACACCACGGTTCATTCATGGAGAAGACAAGAATAGGTTGAGCTTCATCTAGCCACTGCTACCACTGTCCTCTTCTCCCACTGACAAGCTGTGCAGTTGGCAGAACACGTGTCATTCTTGCTAATCCTGTCCAGAAGGGCCCCCGAGCCAAATACTTGTGCTCATTTGTTGATGCAGTTCCTACCATGGCTACAGCTCCCACATCTCACACGGCAGAACGTCAGCGTGGCACGTTGGGTTTTCTTTTCCTACTTCCAAAGGCTGGAAAATTGCCTACATAAGCTGCTAGTGTTGAGCTGGATGGCCACAGCAATAAAGAGATTCTCCAGGGCTGAGGTATGTGCCTCTTTTCTGGACATTCCTCAGCTTCAACACATAGTTGCTACATCTTAGGCTCTGAGTTCCCTGCCCACTGCACAAATGCTCTGCTTCAGGAAAAGATCTAGCTGCTGCTGTGGGCTGCCACCAACTGTGTTATGAAGGCTGTTTATTTTAGCAGCTGTCTGCTCGATTCTATATTAAGGACAGTGTGTATGTAGCTGCTGATTTACAGATACTTTGGGTGAAGGGGGAAGGCTCCTAAATTGTATTGTTTTGGAAATAGTCTCCAATGTACTTCAAGTATTCAAAGAATTTCCAATAAAACTTTTACGTAAGCAATGCTCTGGTTTGTGCTTTTTCTCCCCGTGTACTGACAGGTCTGGGACAGTCCCAACCTCTCAAAGTCTTTCTCCTCCAGGAAGTGGGATAGTCAGAGAGCTGAATGTCAGCACAGGATGGAGCAGGTTGCTGCCTCCAGCGGAGAAAGTAAAACACACTGGTGTGTTCCTGGAAGAAGGACAGTGAGGAAAAGACAGAACGGGTGCCTGGCTGGTCCCAGTCACACAGTGTTTGGCCCTGGTGACCTCCCTGGTGAGCTGGGAAACTGAATTATCTAGATGTCCCACCCCAGCTGAAACATTAACTTGTCTCCAAAAGAAAGGGGTGGGAAAAGGAAGGAAAAAAACCAACCAACCAACCAAACCACCAGCAGAATTTGCATTGTACTGGGTTGTTACTAACAGGCTTAAAAGGAGCGTGGGAATGTTTTGATCTGATGGAAGAGTTAAGAGAGATGAATAAGATGTGGAAAGAACTGGTGTGAGTATCCTAGGAGCAAGGAATGCTGGTGAAGGAGTGTGCTCCTTGCAGCGTGTAGTTCATCCTGTCCCATAACCAAACTGCACAGCTGCATTCTGGTGTTGCTTAAAGTTAACCCTGTACAACACATGATGCCATGGAAGGTGCTGACACCTTAAGATGGTGAAACACCTTAAGAAAGACAAGATGGGAAAAAAATCCTACGTGTAAATACACTAACTGCAGATTGAAGCTGCAGTGTAAAGAGTGTCTGGTTATAAAGAAGCAACAGTGAATGAAATGGCCAAAAAAACCCAAAAAACAGAAAAATGACTGTGTATTGGAAGTGTCTGTGAAGGGAAACATTCCAGCTTGGGGAACAAGGATAACTATTAAAAATAACCTTGAACTTACTTCAGGAGGTAACACAATAATTGCAACCTTATAGATACTGATCTATTGATGCTACATGTATGTATAGAGTCATAGAACCATCCCAACTGGAAAAGACCTGTAAGATTATCAAGTCCAAATGTAAACCTAACACCACAAACCACTAAACCATGTCCCTAAACACCACATCTACCCATCTTTTAAGTTCCTCCAGGGATGGGGACTCCACCATTTCCCCGGGCAGCCTGTTCCAATGCTTGACAACCTTATTTAGGTGAAGAAATTCTTTCTCAGATCCAACCTAAACCTCCCCGGTGCAACCTGAGACTGTTTCCTCTTGTTCCATCACTTGTTACCTGAGAGAAGAAACCAAGAGCCACCTCTCTACACCTTCCTTTCAGGTAGTTGTAGAGAGCGAGAAGTTCTCCCCTGAGGGAGTCTGTGTGGATTTATGAATATCATTTCATGCACTTACAAAAGACATTGCACACTTTGGGGAGAACTGAATTGAGGGCAGACTCACATAAACCGTCCTGTGGGATCTACAGGGCCTTCAGTATCCACCCTCTCCACCACGTCACCAGTAAGACAAGGGATTGGAAAACCCATCAGTCATAAAATGATGATTAATCACCAAGGTCACGAGCAATTGAACACCAAGCAACTGTGAGCCTGTTGTACATATTTAAAAAAAGAAAAATGTTTTCAGAATAACATCCTTAAGGCCACAGGGCACCTACACCCGAAAGCACATCCAGCTGCAGTGGTGCTCACGCTGTGTTCAGTACTGTCTGGTTGCACATCATGTACATCCTGCCAACTACAGCACCCATCTGCTCCCCAGCTCCTCCGAGGCCAGAGCAGATGTTGCCACAGCACAGCGGGTCACTGTGACCAAGCCCAGGGGTGGGACCAACTGCTGCACTCACAGGAGATTGAGATACTGCTGTACACCAGCATATTAACCACACCGACCCCACTGCAGGGCCAACACAGTCCCAGGGGTGGAAAAATCACAGACTGTGGCCAAAAGCACCATCCACATGAAAAAGCCCCAGAAAAATAAGCAAACCTCTCAACTCTAGAAATGAAGGTGCCCAGTAAGTTACGGCAGGTAAGCAAATTAACAAATCAGACTACAAGGACCATATGCAAAGTATTACCTGGGAACAGATGCCAAAAATACCTCTGGCTCCTTGTGTCTGGCTGACAGCTTGTCACCTGTCACACTGAGTAACGGCAACACGCTGAAGGAGAACTGGCAACTCTGGGAAGCCAGGAGGCATTTCATACTCACTCTCCTCCCTCTCTGCATGCTTGTAGTTGGCAGCACAGCCACCTTTACTTGGGTTTCTTGTATAGATGTCCCACAGCTGCTGCCACTTGACAGACACACCTGGATCTGGGATTACATTTTGATTTTTATTGAAATACAAAAAGTGCAAACTGTGAAATACAAGATTGGTGCAGATTAGAAGGAAATAAACAATGATGTGAACCGATACCACTGTGATAACCCCAGCCCTGCACCTGATGAACATCAACAGAAAAGAAGGCAGGAAACACCAGGA